AATGTTGCGGGTAAGCCAAAGGTAGTTAACTGAAGTCCAAACCTAGCTTCGGGGGTACCCCTATCAGTTACAGGCCAGATTTGTAGAAACAGGCATCAAAGAGTTCTTTCCTCAAGACACCAAATATGCTCTGGGCCCAAAACATGAAAATTCTCGTTGGTCATCAAACGGAGCGAGGGGAAAAGTAGCCAGAGGGTGTGTGTGCGTGAAGCTCTAGTCCTCGACCTCAAGAAGGTACCTGAAGAGGATCAGAAATCGCTTCATTTTGACTCTCCAATTGGAAAATAAAAAGACCAAGAGGTATTAGGTGAAATTTAAAAGGTGTATATTTTGATTGAGCAAGGATAGGCTTGTTTGCCAAGATCTGAAATAAACCAGGGCACGCCTAAAACCTAGTGGTAGTCTACCCATCACTAAGGATCACCTTAAACGGTTGAGGAGGCGGGAGGGCTTTCCCTTGGAAGGGCAAGTGCAAGCTAAAACTAAAGCAGTCCAAGATGAGTTCAGATAAAGTCAGGGAGAGAAAAACCCACCAAAGGCTGTTCATCTCCTTGGGTTACTACTGTCAGAATTGGAGACTGAATGTGCCAGGAAAACCACCATTACATGACTCGCCTCAAAATACCAGTCTTATGATGATCACACTGACACAGGTGGTGTCCCATCAAATACTAAACCCTCAACTCCTTCCCTCCACCAAGAAGTGCCCTAAGATCCATTAAGATTTTCAGAGCATCACAGACCTCCAGAGTGAGGTCTTGACCTGTACACCAGTCAGAACTGAGCACCTGGACAGATACCATCGTAACCCTGCAATGACTGTACTCAAACTAGTTAACTCAGAGGACTTAACACCATTAAAAACAGATCCCACAGTTAGCCGGAAGGAATAAATACACTAACATCACAAGACAGTTCATATCCACAAATATTTATTGAGTGCCTGTATGCAAGAATGAAGGAGAGATGGTCGCTGCTCTCGTGGAGCTCACAATTTCGTTTCTCCAGGATTTGACCAGATTTAACAACTGCAACAAGCACCTGTCTGTCTAACCAGCAGCAGCACTACAGGAAGCAAAGTTTTCACATTGTATTGGTCACTGTTACAGTGCAAGTGTGAAGAAAACATAATTATCTTTGAAGTCTGTAGTCATAGCAATGACGTGGTGTATAATGTCCAGCAAATGTAAATTTATGGCTCGACTCCTACTACTAGAGAGGGGTCTATTGAAGTAAAACACAAATCAGAAGGGGAAGGCTTAGTAATATGAATTCTAAGAATACAGGTGGAGTTTATTATCAAACTGCCACACAACTCTTGGCAGGGCAGGAAATTATTTCCTGCAAAATGTGTGCAATACAATAGGTTTAATCAGACCTGCAGATCTCATAACCATACACATTCATTCATGATGGGTAAATGTGATTTACCTTTATGATTCCTAAAGAGCTCTAGGTGTGCATTTATTTTTTAAAGCTTCTTAAAGACTCGCAGCACAAGTGGCACATTAGTGAAAACTGCTTGAGATATCTCAAAATTAAAATGACAAAAATGTCTAATTTTACTACATATGTAAGTGCAGAGTTCAGAATGCAAATAGCATTCAGCAAAGCACCTGAGTTAAAAACGGGACTGTTTTGGTTGCTTATGAAACTCTAAATCATAATCTTCATACAGATCTTCTGACGTCCAGTGGCAGGCATGTCCTTCACGTAGTCCCGCTTCACAGGCTTCACCTTTAGATGTCTAATTATGGAACACTCAAAAGAGCAATTATTTTGATAACATTGGCAATACTTTAAGGGAAATAGCCTATATTTGTATCAAAAACCCCCAAATCACCTATTTTATTTAAGATCAAAGTGCTTCTGGGCCGGCCCCGTGGCTTAGCGGTTAAGCGCTCACGCTCCGCTACTGGCGGCTCGGGTTTGGATCCCGGGCGCGCACCGACGCACCGCTTCTCCGGCCATGCTGAGGCCACGTCCCACATACAGCAACTAGAAGGATGTGCAACTATGACATACAACTATCTACTGGGGCTTTGGGGGGAAAATAAATAAATAAATAACAAAGTGCTTCTTAACTTACACTCGACAGGTTATCAATTTTATTAGTCATAAAAAAAAAAATCTTGCACGAGAGGGAAGCTCATTTAAACTCCAGGAAAGCTCATTTTTTGCAAAAAGGTGGACAGAACATCTTAGACCACCTAACAGAAATGTCAACCAACCCAAGGCAGTTTTTAAGTCAATTGCCAGGCACACAATCTACTTTTCTATTTTAAAAGTACTAAATCGCTACTTCAAAAGCCTATTTAACTCAGAATGAATCTACTACTTATTGAAAATTTACTAAGCACCAAGCACTTTACATAATCTCCCTTAATGGAAGCTTCTTATTGGTTCATCTTGTCTTTTACTGCAGAGGAAGGCAGGCCTGAGTGTGACCCGGGTCTGCCTGACTCTCCTGTCCCCTGCCCAGCTGCTGTGGTCCTGGCGCCGCCACTTGAACTACATCGATTACTGCTTCAGTCAGAACCTGCATTTTAACTTGGGCTCCCGAAGGGCGTTTCCCCACCTCAGGAGGCTTGGTAAGGGAACAGCAGGGGCAGATCCAGGTGAAAGGAGAGTATTAACCCTATTTGCATTTAAAAAGGCACTTCCCAGAGGCGGAAGGTTCTCTTAAGGTTTCTTACCAACTGCAGCTCAGCCCCAGCCGGCAACAAGAATAGTTTACCTCCCTGGGATAATAGTCGCTTTTTGAGATTGCCACCTTTTCTGCTTTTAGGGTGAGTTGTTTTGGAGCCAAGCGTCCTAAGTTAAGCATTACCGAAGGGAGAGAAGGTAAGGATTTCCCTTGGTTTCTCTCTTCACAGCTATGAAGAAAAAAAAATTTTTTTTAAATAAGTGACTGGTACTTCCAATCTAGTACACACTTCAAAAATCAATGCATATGTTTTCTGAGAGAGAGGCACAGAAAATGTGTTGATGGAACTTAATACCTTTCTGGGAATAAGCCAATACAGACTACTAAGAAGATAACTCCTTGACAAAATAAAACTATAATCTCTTCTGAAATGGCAATTTCCTAGTCTTAGGAATGTAGCAGACTTCACGATATAAGGAGGGAACAATGAAATATCCTAATAATTTCAAGTTCATTCTTTTTTTTTTTTTTATAATTTTATTTTATTTATTTTTCCCCCCAAAGCCCCAGTAGATAGTTGTATGTCATAGCTGCACACCCTTCTAGTTGCTGTATGTGGGACACGGCCTCAGCATGGCCGGAGAAGGGGTGCCTCAGTGCGCGCCCGGGATCCGAACGCGGGCCGCCAGTAGCGGAGTGCGCGCACTTAACCGCTAAGCCACGGGGCCGGCCCTCAAGTTCATTCTTAACGTCATATATTGGACACGTTACAGGGAACATCATCCGTAAAGTCAATCCCTTTATTAGGTCTCGACACAGCTGTACTGGAGTTTGATTAAATGAACTTCTTCTTTACTGTAACTATGAGATTGAAAAAAAGAAAAAAAGCTAGAAAAAGATAGCAAGAATAAAGGCACTTGATTCTGTTGATGAGCAATTTTGATTAGCCCGGTATCTTCAACTGGGTGCAGGAGTTGGGAGCCAAGGTTATAGGAGCAGGAGAGGCTGCTGCCAGACTGCCCCTCCTTGCTGCAAGTCCCCCCTCAGGCTGAGAAGGGAGCATGGCTATGGGCACCAGGCTGGAGCTCAGCCGTGTGAAGCTTTGGTGAAGGGTGCTCACAGGTCATCTGAGATCCCTGCTGGAAGGCATATGTATATCCTCTAATGGAATAACATTTGGCTTGGTTCACTTAACTATAGCTATTAAGAGCCACATGAGGAGGAGAAAAAGCTTCAAAAGTAAACCAAAATTTAAAACCTGAGCATTTTCAGTGGGAATCAATTTTGAAAGTTTGGAATGAGTCTGTTTATCACCGTGTACTAAGCTGAAATATGTGGGCCCTAGGTTCTGACTGGCAACCAAAAAGTGGACTTAGGGCCGGCCCAGTGGCATAGTGGTTAGTTCACGCGCTCTGCTTCACTGGCCCAGGGTTCCCAGGTTCGGATCCCAGGTGTGGACCTATGCACCGCTCATCAAGCCATACTGTGGTGGGGTCCCATATACAAAGTAGAGGAAGACTGGCACAGATGTTAGCTCTGGGACAATCTTCCCCACCAAAAAAAAAAAGTGGACTTAGCCCAGACTTGACCAGCAATCAGGACAGAGACCTGCTAGAGCGCCCGATCAGAGCCCAGGCTCCTGCCCAGGGGCTACTTCCAAGAGCCAGAGGTACTGCCAATGCAGTGGTCTGGAGCCCTCCAGCAAGGCCAAGCTAAAGGCACGGGGCTCCATCCAGATCCACTCCCTGTCCATTCACTAGCAGAGGTTACTCTGATCTCAGTCCAGTGTTCTTACTGAACCTACTATGGGAGTACTTATTTTTCTTTTTGGCAGGAGTGGAGGGGGTGGAGAAGGGTTACAAATGTCTGCATGACAACTCTGACTGACCACTGAAACCACGAACCTTGAGGAAACCAGGGCTGGTCTTACTACCACACTGGGTGGTGGCCCGCATGTCATCAAAGGTTTATCTATCAACTGACTGTCAAGGGTGGGACACGAGTTACGTTCAGAATGACAAGCACAAAGCTACAGCTCTCTAATTGTTTAACTTTTTCTGAAAAGTACTATATATATGACAAAATTGAGAATTACATCCTTCTCATTTTTCTTTCCTTATAAATAATAACATTTAAGAGAAACAAAATGAGTTATATTCATGTAGTTCTGAAAGCTTTCCAATATTCCATTATTACTATTCTAATATTCACTCTAAGACGTTTCAAACAGGAATTGCATTATTATTTTTAAAAAACTTCAACACAACTAAAAATCCAGAGTATGCTGTAATTTTTTTGCATTTAGCATGTATCAGTCTATCATTATGAAAGCTGTTCTTAAGCATTTATTTAAAAAAAATCATATTCACAATGTAGAACAAGTTTATAAAATTGGTGTGCAAAGTGAATCATAAAAGGATAACACTATTTAGAAACAAGCTGCCTCCGCTGTTCACGTTTCCTTATTCTTGATATAAATTGGAGACATACTAAAAATAATACTTTTTAAATAGTAAAATATACAAGAGATTCCTGAGCATAACAAAAATATCTCGAAAATATGTGGTCATTTGAAGTATAAAATAGCAAGTGTAAAGAAGAACATGATTGTAAAACTACTGTTTGAAGGCTTATAAACAGTACAAAATAGTTTGCCTTTTCTGAATGCATAATTATACATTAGTGCAAACAAAAATGTCTCAAAATTTAATGGCTACAAATCTCAAAGATTTGCAGAGGTGCGCAAAACATGAAATTTCTTTAATGTCATGCGAACTGAACCCAGTTCTCGATTAATCCTTTCCAAACGATCTTCCAAGGCTTCCTAGATGAAAATAACGGAAAAAGTTTAATTAGAATTCTACATCAAGTTCACTGGTTCAATAACTACCACCAAATTGCCCTTTCTTCTAGCAAAACAACAAGTATAAACATTAAAATTACAAATAGTCATTTTGCTTTTTAAACAAATCATCTTTATATGACTTCTCTTAAACTGAACAATGTGAATCAACTGTTCAAGCATTCCAAAGAACTGCTGCACTTTAAAATATTCTTAGTACGTTGGTCCACTGAGTATGTGGAAATTTTAGTAATGGCAACACAATCGAGCAGCGGGAGATCACTCTTTGACTTTGTTGAACTGAGAACAAGAGTGCAAGAGGAACTTCCCTAGGAGGTGCTTCACACGTTTCACCAGAAGAAACGGACACGTTTGACTGGTGCCATATCCCACTTACATTACATCAAATAACTCTTCTGACAAAAATTTCTAAGTCAAAAAGGAAAAAAACATTGGAGGAGACTTTTCCAAGGAACAAGAGATTTCAGAATGAATCAATGTAACAACTGCTATTTTTACATAAATAGTACTACTGTTAAATAAATAGTACCTGGAATATATATTTATTAGTTTAGATACTTTATTCAGTATTAACTCCAATGGTATCCTGAAATAAAACTTAATTTTCTCTTAAAAAATTTTCTCCTCTAACTTTAATTATAAAAAGATTATACGTTCATTATAGAATATTTAGAAGACAGATGAGTAAAAAGTAACAGATAAAGCAGTTCCTCTTTCCTGTTTTTTCTGCAGAAATGCACACCATTTTTAAGAAGAAAAATAAAAACAGAATCAAACTCTCTACTTCAAAATGTTTTTCAGGGCCGGCCCCATGGCTTAGCGGTTAAGTGCACGCGCTCCGCTGCTGGCGGCCTGGGTTTGAATCCCGGGCGCGCACTGATGCACCGCTTCTCCAGCCATGCTGAGGCTGTGTCCCACATACAGCAACCAGAAGGCTGTGCAACTATGACATACAACAATTTACTGGGGCCTTGGGGGGGAAAAAAAAAAAAAAAATGTTTTTCAAATGAACTTTTCTTGTTATGAAATATCCTTCTACGACACTGTTTTAAATTAATGTGCAATATTCCATCAGATATACCATATTTAACCAAGAATCTTTTAGTAGAAAATTTAGGTTGCTTCCAATTTTAGATATCACAAATAACACTACAATAAATATTCTTAAACGTATCTTTTTGCACATACTTCTTTGCACATATCTATATCTCTTTGCACATATCTGTCATTATTGCCTTAGGAATCATTCCCAGAAGTAAAAATGCTAGGTCTAAAGAAATACAAAATTCAGTTTTGGATATGTGTCAAGCTGCACTCCAGAAAATTTGTGACAATTTCAACTTCCCCCTGTGGTGTATGAGAATAAGCTTTTCCCCATCCTGGATACTGTTTTCTTAAAAAAATATCTGCCAATGCAATAGTTTAAAAAAAATGGTGCTTTTGTTTAAATGTGTATTTTTTTTTTTAATTCATTGTTGAGGCTGAACATTTTTCATCTTTTTTTGCCTGATTTTACCTTTCTCACTTACGAATCACATGTATGTATCCTCATCCCCTTTTTGCTGCCAGTTGTCTTCTTACTGGACTGAAACAGCTTTGACATATATAAACAGAAACTAATGCCCTCTAAGTCTTATTTTAAGAGCTTATAATCATTATATAAAAATATACCAAACAAATGTTTCAGGTAGATTTAGTTTTTCTTCAGTCTTTCCAGTAAACTATTATAAGAAGACTTTCATGTGTTGAGTCTTATAACTCACTGAATAAAAACTTTCAGAACAATAAAAAGACAACATCAGAAAAAAAAGAGAAGTTAGGGACACAGAGCCTAGAAAAAGACTATTTTTCTTTGCTATTTTCTTGTGTGTTTCTTTCTTTCTGGTATCACAGATCAGTCTGAAAATGAACTTTTCCTGAAGTTAAGGCACTGAAAAGCCAAAACATGCAGTTATATAAAAGACATATACTTGTTATATTTAAAATGTTACAAAAAGAGCAGATTTAAAATGTCCCATGGTTTCATGCATTTTAATTCTCTTTGAAAAGCAACTAAAAGAAATACACATGGCCCACATCTCCTGCACCATCTCCTGCTCAATAATGGAATCACATCTCTCTCTCTTTAACCTCTAACGCTATTCCAGTTGCAAAGCGCAAATGTTTTACATATTTACTAAATGGAAAGGAGTTCAGAAATAAATTACCGACTGGAGGGGAAAAAACAAACACAAAAAGAGAGATTTCATGTGACAGCATTAACTTAATGTAAAATCGGAAAAAAGATATATTGCCATTTGCTCCCAAGTTAGTTTCTTGAAAACATAATGGAATGAACAACTTTTTCTTGAGGTATAAAGGTAAAATTTTTATTCCTGAAAGCTAGCATGCAGTTATAGAATATACTATACTCACCAAAGACTTCCTATAAAGCCTAAAAGTTTTGACCAATTGTATCAGTGTGCCTAAAAACCATGATTTAAAAAAATCATCTTGGATAAACAGAGCACTGACTAGCATCAAGCCTCTAACGCAAATGCGAGCTAAGACATTTCACCTGATTTAATCTTGTCTGCAAAGTGATTCGTCCTCCAGTAGAAGGCATTCGACTTAGTGCTGCCTCAATCTGTTAAGACAAAAAAATGTTTAAATAAAAATAGAAGAATTCTAATTACCGGCAGGGAGGTTTATAACAGAATGGAAAGAAAAGACTTCAGCCTAGTATTTTCTTGTCCATCTTGCCTTCCCATAAGTTCCCTCTGTCATAATTAGTAACGACAGCTCGGCTCAAACACGTTTCCAGTGCAGCTTTGCTGTGGTATCCACAGTAACTTCCCGGGATGGGTTTGTCTCAATAATTCCCTTCTGACTATTCCTCAGACATAAGCATTGAGTTCAGAAAAACATTAAAAAAATTTTTTTTTGTTATTACCTGGTCCTTTTCTTTTGTAAGTTCATCAAAAAACCGTTCCGTTTCAGCTAGGGTCCTAATTTTTGCTGTATATTCAAAATCATAACCATGGGGTGCTACTGAAGCAGGCTGACACTGTGCAGAGCTCACTGACTTATTCTTCTCCCAGGCGGATCTCATGGAGGCTTTCCTCATTCCATTTGGCAACAGTTCGGGGGAAGAGCTATGATTAACAGGGGTGTCGGTGGCTTTTTCAGAATATTTTTTTTGTCAGAGAGAAAAAAAATTTATTTCTTATCAATTTTTCTAATAGATCGTATATATACTAAATAGGTTACAGTCATATTTTCTCACAGTCATATTATTCTCCACAGAATTCTAAAAGCTTTGCCCTCAGTTTGACAATCTTCACAACTTGCCTAACTGAATATATGCAAACTTTCTGTAAACTTAAATGAACTTAAGTTAAACTTAAGTAAACTCAAAGCAAAAAAAAAGTTTAAAAACTAAACAACATATTTAGTGGACATACACCAACATTAACATTTTAAGGACCTACCCAAATGATTTCATATACATTATCTTATAACTTTATTCCAAACTTAGAATATAAATGAGAAAAGAGAAAAAAATCACTTGAAGCTTAAGTTGTACATAAGTAATAGAATATGAAACTACAGTCATGTGCCACATAATGACGTTTGGGTCAAGGACGGACCACATATACAATGGTGGTCCCACAAGCCCAGGTCTGTAGTGGGCTATACCATCTAGGTGTGTATAAGCACACTTTGTGATGTTTGCACAATGACAAAATCGCCTGAGGATGCATTTCTCAGAACAGATTCCTGTCACTAAGTGACGCATGACACTAAAGAGAAAAACTGAACAGTATGGCCCTGGTAATTCAACATTAACCTGTACCTCAGTTTCCCAACTTTTCAATGAGGATAACAACATTTAGACACAAGATGAGCATCGTGAATTTTTTTTTTTTTTATGGCTATCTTCTTCTTCTTTCTTTTTTTTTTCGTGAGGAAGATCAGCCCTGGGCTAACATCTATGCCAATCCTCCTCTTTTTGCTGAGGAAGACCGGCCCTGAGCTAACATCTATTGCCAATCCTGCTCCTTTTTTTCCCTTTTACTCCCCAAAGCCCCAGTAGATAGTTGTATGTCACAGTTGCACATCCTTCTAGTTGCTGTATGTGGGAAGCCGCCTCAGCATGGCTGGACAGGACAAGCGGTGCATCGGTTCGTGCCAGGGATCCGAACCCAGGCCGCCAGTAGCGGAGCGCGCACACTTAACCACTAAGCCATGGGGCCAGCCCCTGTGAATGCTTATTTTTAAAGGCCCTTGAGTAGAAAAATATTTAAGTGCAGGATATTATAACATTCAGAACCTTGAAGATACCAGAAACTCACAAAATGAATGACTAAAACCATAAGTAATAATTTTTTAGTAAAAGATACCTTCCGAGTCATCTAGAGGAAGAAACTGGAGTTGTTTTCTTGGAGTGGTACGTTGTAATGCTGACACAGGAATGGTATCTAAATCATCCAAAAGTATATCAAATCTATTGAATGAAGCAAGTTACTTGTGAGAAAAAAATGTTAACTGATTTTCCCTATCTCCACTAGAGAGATGAGCTGGCATCCAGTTAACTCACAAACTTATATTTTTTTCTTAAAAAAAAGCTGGTCATATAATTTTCTAAAACTGGAATTTAACTTATATTTTCTAACACAAAATTATATTTACATAGTAGAGACTTAAAGCATTTCCCCATACATTATCTCAACTTGTCTTTATAACAACCTTATAAAATAGGCAGGGCAGGTATTATTATCCCCGTTTTACAGAAGAGGAAACTGAGGTTCAATGCACTTAGGTAATCTCTCCAAGAGCCCGAGGGAGCTGGGTCTCTGGCTCTTCTATCTTAGGAGTCAGTGGTCTCCCCACTGCTGACCACAGCGCAGAGAGAGGACGATTTTCTCCGGAGCACATGTAAACTTAGGTTTAGTGCCAGGGCCATACCCAGACAGCCCACTTTCTTGTACAAATGGCTCGAGAATTTCCCTGTATCATAAACCTTTTCAGGAAAACAAAGAATTACCATTCTACATCCAAAAGCTGGAAAGAGGTTCTAGAGCGGTATTTAAAATTTAGTAGTAGCCAGTTTATGTAGAAACTGTTTTCATGTATTATAGTACTTTTCTGCTTGTAGTATGACAATCATTTAAATGATTTAAATCCACAGAGTTCCCATTGTCAACTGAAAAATCAGTAATAGCTAGAGGCACAGCTGACATTTTTAAAAAGTCAATAATATATATATATATATTTGTGTGTATGTGTGTGGGAGAGAGAGGAAGATTAGCCCTGAGCAACATCTGTTGCCAATTCTCCTCTTTTTGCTGAGGAAGATTGGCCCTGGGCTAACATCCCCGCCCATCTTCCTCCACTTTATATGGGATGCCACCATACCATGGCTTAACAAGCGGTGTGTGTCTGTCCACGCCCAGGATCCCAACCCACGAACCCCAGGCTGCCAAAGCGGAGTGCGTGAACTTAACCGCTATGCCACCGGGCCAGCCCCAATAATATATATATTTTATTCTACAATTTCAGAGAACTTACCGAATTGGACTGCTTTCATTTTTGCTAAGTAGATGACTAAATCCTGGGGACAAATTTTCTTTAGGGGATCGCTTTGGACTATAAGCCACAGTCACTGGTGTTAACATAATCTCTCTTTTTGCTACAGAAGAAAACGAAGAGTAAATATTTTTTTCCTTCTATATATGTGTCATATTGGCAGAACATAGTTTCTTTTTCAGTACTTTTTTTCTAACTTTAAAAGGAACTACATTTATATTGTAAAACTTTTTGAAAGATAAATAAGAGTATACAAAACAAAAATAAAATAATGCATAATCCTAACATCCAGAGGGAACCACTGTCAACATTTTAGTATATTAGACTGTAGTTTCAGCACTCTGACTCAAAACTGGTTTTTCAGGATTTTAGAAGTCAACTGGAAATAAGATGGCAACACCAGCACACTAGTAAACATTCCTATAACACAGCACATACGAATCTCACCTGTCATGCAAACAGAAGTGAGGATACAGAAATCCACTGCTTAACTTTAAAACCATACTTGTAATTGGCTAAAGAAAAAGGTCACTAATGCTGAGTAATCTTAGGTAAATGTATGAAAAGCATCACCTTTTTTCAGGCTAGCTTAAATTAATCTGTTTGAACTAACGCTTAATTAGATAATTGTCTACTATGTCGAAAACTGTGAAGTACTATTAGTTGCCAAAATTTTGCAGGACGCACCAAAAATCTCACTTTAATAAACTGAGAATTTCTTCAGTTATAGTCACAGTATCTGTGCATTCAGACAATGTTATTACTGACAAGATCATATCTAGGGATCCTGTGCTCAGAGCACTCTACCAGGTGTGAGGGAGAGTATAATGGAAACAAATATCAAACCGAGTGCACAGCTCAGACGTCCCTGTTTTGAGCCCAAGAGATACAGATATCTAACTCTTACTTGGAGTACTTGTTTTACGATTTGAAGGTGGTAAAGATGACGATCTCTGTGAAGCAGAGTTAAATCTCTTTTGTCTTTGCTGGGCACATTTCTCTGGGGACCGACTTGCATTGACTGAGGTTTCACTTTGTCGAGGATTCACTAATTCTGTAACAGACAAATGTAAAGAAAAAAAAAAATCACACAAAACAAACCCAGCTTCAGTTATCTGCCTTTATTAACAGATGGTTACACCAGGCAAACAATTCATCTCACTACCTAGGTTCTAATGATTATTTGCAAATGTGCCACATTATAATCATAAAAAATGCTTGATGAAGAAAAATGTGGGCGTTTATAATGAATTCATTCTGGTTCCCTGTTTACAATTGGCACTCAAGGTGATTTTTCAAGAGAGTTTATTTTCAGAAAGCAGGTCACTAATTTATTTACTAGGAGATACTGCTTTGGAGAAGTAATGCCAGAGACGTTAATGACGTGATTAGCAAGCCCAAACAAGTAAGCTCCAGAGAAAGCACAAGGACCTGTGAACAAAACAGTATTCAAGATACTTCACGTCCCACCGACAGACACTCAGTAACCAAGAAAGGGAAGAGTAGGAAATGTTACACCTCACTTTATGAACACCAAACATCTCTCGTAACTTTTCGTGGTGCGTAAGTAAGACAAATGGATGTAGAAATTTGTCAAACATCCTTAAGAATGCCATGTAAATCTTTAATAATCAGAACGCAATATGTAATTTGCTTTGTATAAAAGGTACATGTTATGCCATGACCGTGATAACTTATCTATGAAATGGGGCTGAAGCAGCAGTAAAATAAATTTAACTTTTAATTTCATTACTTGAGGAATTTCATTTTAAAGAAGGTAATATAATTGGAGAAAGGGGAAGATATCTATATATCTATATATATCAAACAAGCAATAAAATACCTACTATTTGAGGTGTCCTCTTTCTCAGTCTGTGTGCCCCAATTTTTAAATATTTTTTTTTCATCAAGTTCTTTTAACGCTTTCATGATTGGTGTGTCTGAAGTCTCTCTCTGTTTTTTTATCAATAAGCTTGTTGGTGTACTTCCAGGTGAAGAATCCTTTTCTGGAGGAGAATGGTACCTGAAATAATAATCACAAGACACACAGTGCTATGGACTGAATATCTGTGCCCCTCCAAATTCTTATGTTGAAGCTCCAGTCTTCACTGTGATGGTATCTGGAGGTGGGGCCTTTGGGATGTGATTAAGTTTAGATGAGATCGTGAGGGTGGAGCCCCCATGATGGGATTAGTGTCCTTACAAAAAAGGAAGAGACGCAAGATCTCTCTCTGCACACATGTACCAAGGAAAGGCCATGTGAGGAGAGAACCAGGAAAAGGGTTCTCACCAAGAACCTAAGCATGCTGGCCCCCTGATCTCAGACTTCCAGCCTCAGAACCATAGGAAATAAATGCTGTTTAAACCCACCCAGTCTATGGTAATTTGTTATAGCAGCCTGAATTAAGACACACAGGTTACTGGGATTGTTAGGGGAATAACATGCGAGTTGACAATTATACTCCACAATGAATACGTTATGCTTTACGATGCAAATAAATGACAACCTAATCTATATATAATAGACCAGTGCTTCTCACTCCTTTTCATATCCTAGTACATACAGAAATATTATACTTATGTGGCACTCTGGAGTAAATGAACGAGGTTGCTCGTGGGGGCCCGAACTATCCGGAGGGCGAGAGGATCAACATCTTGTCCTAAACACAAGCCCGTGCATGGCGCACCACTGTGCCAGGAGCACAGGCGGGGAAGCTCTGCATAGCTTATGAGAGTAAAATTTCCTAAAAGCATTAGCCTTTCGAAATAAAATAAAAATCAGATCCTCAAAATTAAGACATTAAAGAAACAAGGAGGTGGCTCTTTACACCTTCCTGTACATTTAAAGGCAACTGGAATCTCTAAGAAAACACAACGCCTCCTAAATAGGATCTTTGACACAGTTATCTTACCCAGGAACACAGGTGTCCTCCGGCTGGTTATCCATTTTACTGTCCTGGGTGTCCAAAGGCTGGCCAGTAAAGATGGAATACTCGGCTCCTGGTATCAACCACTTCCGCCTGCTGACATCTGAGGTTGCTAGTGTGCTATGAGAATGAGAAACATTCGGAGGCATTATAAAGTTTGTGCTTCAACTCAGACTGAGCACATACAGAAAACAACCTGCTTTGAAATATTATTTACACATTCACACAGTAATTTAAAAACTGCACATAACAATCTTATTTTAGATACCTGAATTCTATCTTACGGTTTTCAGATCCAACTGAATTGTTCTTTTAGGTTTCTGTTACTTCTGAATATTCCTGAATCAGTCAAGATTCAGGCAGGTACTCTCATATCCACACAGCTTTGATGAACACCCCCAACTAGCCCAACGCCACACTTCACATCCTTCATACCCCATCGTAGCTCAGGGCAAGGAAGGGAAGCAAGAGTGTCCGTCTTGCTCCCTCCAGACCAGCACTGTCCAGTAGAATTTTCTGTAAAAACAGAAACATCTCCTATCTGCACAGGCCCATACAGTAGCCACAAGTCACATACTGCTACTGAACACCTGCAATACGGCTAGCAAGACTGAAGAACCAATTTTTAAATGTTATTTAATTTTAATTAACTTAAATTTAAATAGCCACATGTGGCTCTTGGCACTACTGTATGGAAATGTGGGGTTCTAGACCATTACTTCTCCCACGTTCTTATGCAAGAACCATCGTAGATTAACTAGTCATTCACTAGACTTCAGAACCTGTCTTACTTTCTCCATACCTATTGTTGTCCTTATACTAGGCAGCGTCTGTGTCCACACGTCCTCTCTCCAATGATCTGATTCTGCTCCTCCTTAGTCGCCCCCTCAGAGGATACTCACTAGACTTCGTCATCACCAGGGAACATACCCCTGATTAAGGAACCAGTCTGGCTCACATGTCGAGCATTACCACAGCACTTGGACTGCAAGGCCTGTGATCCTCAGCCTCACCATTTTCTACTCATCAACCCCTGATAGCTTTAACTAGTTCCTCTCTACCTACCCTGGAGTGCCCAGTCCTGATAATAATTAGTCACTGCCTTGACTCTCTTCCCAGCTCACCTTCCATCACAGCTGACTGGCAGCAGAAACCTAAGCCTGGATGACTACAATGATCTTACTTCCTGGTGTCTACACTCCTACAGTTGAGCTTTGCTGGAAAAAAGTCGCCCAACCATGCAGACTGGGGTATCATTACAGAATCACTATCACCCTCCCAAGTGGACACCCAACACCGGCAGGCAACACACCCTTCTGTAATCAACGAGATCCGATTCTCCAATACAACTATCTGACACCCTCTCCACTCTCCTCGAACCTCTCACCCCAGCCTTGGCTGTCAGGTGACAACCTCACCTCACACTTCAGAGAGCAAATAGAAACCATGAACAAGAACTTCTGCCTTCCTCTCTCTGCTCCCTTTCACAACCGAACTTTTTAAGAGTTGCCCCTTTTATCTATTTTCATTTCAACTCCCAGTTACTCCTTTCCTCCTTTTTTCCTCAATTTTTAAATTAAGAAACATTTTAAACATTCTTAGAAAATTACAAAGAATACTATGACACACTCACTCATACTTAATTTTAAGAAATGCTAACATCTTACCATATTTGTTTTTAAGACAAAATTACACATGTATGGTTGTATTTTTTAAATTACATAAAGGGTATAATGTACACACCCTTTTAATGCTTTTTCTACTCAACATTATGTTTGAGATTTACCCATGTTAATACGTAAAGCTCTACCATTTTAATCATTTATCCAAGGTATGAATGTATCAGTTATTTATCCTTTCTTCTGTTGGTGGATGTTTAGGTTCTAATATATCACCTTTCAACGATGCTACAATTAACATGCGTAAGAATTTCTCTAATGTAAATACCTAAAACTAGAACTGCGGAATTTGGGGTGTGCACATCTACATTCTTACTGGATATTGACCAATCACTCTCCAGATGAGCTGTACCAATTTTCAGTCCAATCAGGAGTATGAGAGTTCCTGTTTCTTCACATCTTTCCCAAACTTTACAATGATTAGATTTTAAGTTTGGCCTGTCTGATGGTGGGAGTGGCCTCCCATTATCGTTTTAATTTGCATTTTTCTGATTACCAGCGAAATGAGCATCTTTTCATTTTTATTAGCCATAGGTTTCTTTTTCTGTGAACTACTTGTTTATATTTTTTGGTCACTTTTTTATTGAGGAGGTTGTCTTTTTCTTATTGATTGGTAGGAGTTCTTTATATTCTGAATACTAATCCTTTATTCCTTCCTGATGATTTTAAAATTACAAAATATATCAAGCTTGCGTAGACATACAGAAAACACTCATGCACCAACCATCTCGCTTTTTAAAATCTTGATTCTTTGCTACACATCCTTTAGATTTTTAAAGAGTGGAACACTACAGATACAACTGAAGTCCCTTGGTTACTTCTACAATCTCCTTTTTTCCAAAAGCAACTGTTTATACTAAACTTGTGTTCAGCATTCTCATGCATGTTTTTATACTTTTACTATATCTGTATGAACCCATAAGATATGCAGAACTGTTTTACATGCTGAATTCAATATAAATAGTATCCTATTTCTTTTGCAACTAGTTTTGTTGTTGTTGTTCCACATTATTTTCTTCAGAATAAACCATGCTGACAGTCTAGTTCAGAGGTCAGCAAATTTTTTCTGTAAACAGCCAGATGATAACTATTTTAGGGCTTATAGGTCAGACAGTCTCTGTCACAACTAATCTTCGCCATTGTAGCGCAAAGCAGCTACAGACAATACGTAAATGAATAAGCTTGGTGTGTTCCAATAAAATTTTATTTATGAACACTGAAAATTTGAATTTCATATAATTTTCATGTGTCATGAATATTATTCTTTGATTTTTTTTTTCAAACATTTAAAAACATCCAACAATTCTTTGCTCACAGGCCTTAAAAGAACTGGCATAGGCTGGATTTGGCCTGGGGGCTGTAGTTTGCCAACCCCTGATCTAGTGTATGCACTGTCACACTGTATAGTAATATGCATAAATAGATCACAATATATTAACATTCCAGCTGTTAGACATTTAGGTTGTTTTCATCCACTCTTCAACACACTAGCAACTGGCTTCCACTTCTACTGCTCCATCCAAACTGTCCTCTAGGTCATCAATAACCCCTAGTCTGCAAATCCAACAGACCCTTTCAGTCTTCCTCTCACTTGCTCTCTCAGCAGCATTCAACACCGGCAACTGCATCCATCTTCCTCCTAGTCTTCTAGCGGCTCTTTCTCAGGGTCCTTTGCCAACTCCTTTTCTACCCAACACCAAAACACTGGGGTTCTTCAGAGCTTTGTCCTGGGACCACTTCTCACTATACACACCCATCCATCCTATGGCTTTAAGCACTATCTAGAAAGACAACTCCAACATTTATAAATCCAGCCTAAGAGATTATTTCTGAGCTCCAAACACAAATTTATAATCGCCTGCATGATTTCCACTTAGAATTCACATGAATCTCAAACTAAGATATTCAGGATGGAAATTCTGATCTTTACCCCATGGTCTGCTCTTCCCATCTCTTCCCATGTTCAATACATGGCACCCTTAGTTGTTCACAACAGAAACGAAGGAGTTAACTGACACCTCCCTTTCTTACCTTGCCATCCAATTACAACCATGTTCTGTGGATTCTACCTCCAGAATCTCTCTCAAATCCTTCTCTTCTGTCCATTTCTATGGCCACCAGCCAGCTGACACTCTGTCTCTCCTAGCACTGCAATAGCCTAACTAGTCTCTCCACTTCTACTCTTTTCCTCTCCATCTTCTCCTCACGGCAGGTACATTAAAAAAAAATAGCAAACAGGGCCAGCCTTGTGGCTTAGCGGTTAAGTGCTCGCACTCTGATGCTGATGGCCCAGGTTCGGATCCCAGGCGCGCACCGACGCACCGCTTCTCCGGCCATGCTGAGGCCGCGTCCCACATACAGCAACTAGAAGGATGTGCAACCATGACATACAACTATCTACTGGGGCTTTGGGGGAAAAATAAATAAAATTATTAAAAAAAAAAATAGCAAACAGATGACACAATTTTACTATATAAAACCCTTCAGGGGCTTGCCAATGGACTTAAGAGTAAAATCCAAATTCCCAGCCGTGGCTCAGAAAGCGATATATAATGGGTCAACAATTTCATCTGGGGCTGGACCCGTGGCTTAGCGGTTAAGTGCACGCGCTCCGCTGCTGGCGGCCTAGGTTCGGATCCCGGGCGCGCACCAACGCACCGCTTCTCTGGCCATGCTGAGGCCATGTCCCACATGTAGCAACTAGAAGGATGTGCAGCTATGACATACAACTATCTACTGGGGCTTTGGGGGAAAAAAATAAATAAATAAAAATTAAAAAAAAAAAAAAAAAACAATTTCATCTGGGGCTACTTTACCCACCGCTGGCAATATTCAGGTCATACTAGCCTCCTTCAGTTGCTTCCAACATACAGCTAAACTCTTTCCTACCTCAGGACTTAGCAATTTCTCTGCTGGGGACATCTCTCTCCTTCCCTCCACACCTCCCACTGGAACAACTCTACACACACGGCTTATATCTCTGCTTACATGTCACCTCCACAGAAAGGCCTACCCTGACTCCAACCTTAGCCTCCATTTTGTTCATCTCAAATGTTCAATTTCAGTTACTTACATAATTTTTTCTTTAAAAAATTCACTACGTTCTACTAAAATTAACAAAGACCTAGAAAAAGTTTCTCATTTGACAATTATAACTTAGAAAGGTTAAAATTTACAATGATCTACTCATTTAATACTCTTTATTTACACCAAAATCATAATAAAAACCAATTTTAATATGAAAAAAACTTATTCTGTAAACATATCATCAACGTAATGCTCTGAGATTACAACAAAGCTAATTCTGAAAAACTAAAAAAACTAAAAAGAAAAAACCATACAACCTAATGAAGATCCATCTTCATAGATCTTTCCACTAACGTGGGAATAAAACTTCTGGAATTTTAGCACTAAAAGATCTTTTGAGACGTTCTAGACTAATGCTCTTGTTTTTACAGATAATAAAAGTGAGCTCCAAAAATATTAAGTGATTTGCCTAAGGTCACACAGCTGGACGGAGTCAAAAAACAAAAATATCACAAGTCTCCTTACTCCCAATCTGATTTCACTATTTCCTCCTTCTGGAAAATGCCTCTGCATAAGAGCTTTCATGACATCTAATAATTAGATGTTGTTACACATTTAAGTTCTATAATGACATTTAACCCTGACTTTCTTACGATTTAGACAGATGAGCTTCTCAGTTCAATAAAAGAGTACACCTATTTCTAGCTTTACGGAGATTAAATGAAATAACTTACTTGGCACGTGAGGGTCTCATGGGAGTTTTAGAATGATGACGAAGACTTAACATATTTTCATGCTCCACTTGCTTGACCTGAGCTTCAAGTTTTGAAATTGTTCTAATTCAAAAGCAATAAGATAAATTAAGTACATTTCAACAAATTTAAAATATAGCTCAACTACAAATTACTTATTTAACAGACACTTCTAGGAAAGGGGTGACAATAGAGCTGCAAGTCCATAAACTTTTTCATAGTAAAATGCCACTGTTAAACTTTAAAAAGCTGAACAAAATCAGGGAGAATAAACAGAAAGACAAATACAAAAATCTCTACAAAGGAGCATTACACTACAACTGAAGGAAAATGGAGGAACAAATGGACTTAATACAGCAAGTAAAAAAAAGTTTATAAATTTGACTACAGATCAAAACACACAGAGTATAAATTAAATAAAAATAAAATCAATTCAAGTATTCAAATAAATTGCAATTCTAACATGTTTAATTCTAATATGTATGCATTCATGCATACGAAACATGTATAGGTAATGCTCTCACAAAAGAGGAAGCAGGCTTACACCCAACAGCAGAGCTATTAAAAAGAACATCCCATCCTGGACAACTCAACCTACAGGCAGCTCATCCAACTTGTGCCGTGTTCAGAATGGAAGCCTATTTTCAAGTGTACCAACAGAAAACAAGTACTCCGGCCAATTAACTGTTTTGACCATATCTTGACATTCTTTCTGTGCTTTTAAATTTGCATATGCCTTCATCTCATCTTTTAAACTCAAATTTTTACCTACTCTGTTGCAAGGAAGGTTTGGGAAACAACAGCTCTAACAGGGCTGATGCTTTCTACCAACCTGATGAGGAAGCCGTCTCTGGAACTGAATGCACCACAGAAAAGACGTAAGCAGACAGGAAAGCAGGACAGCGTTCCTGTTCCGCCCTGTGGGGGGCCTTCAGAGTGCAGTAAGATCCCTAAATGAGGGACGTTACTTATTTCCAAATACACAAATCTGCTCTAACGTCAATTAGAAATATCTAATCATTCGCCACAAGGACCATTTATGACTGTTCCTACATAATTAAGTAAATCGGATCATGAATATAGTCCCCAAACCAGGTCTTAAAGAAAGTAGATGACTACAAAATTGGTGTAAATGCTATTTTGTTTTTGGAGCACAGAAGTAATTCAGTGAACTAGACTGCTTCTTAAAATTATTTTCAATGGTTTAATATCATTTAGATTTTACCTATGCTGAGAAAATACAAAATGTTTGGTGAAATGTACCTTTCAGGCACAACCACCAATATATTCTAATCATTTAAAAATCTTCTTTGGCTAAAATCAAATATATTTCCAGATCAGGGGAAGATTAGCATTAAACCTAATCTCAAAGTACTTAAAAATCCTCAAGAAAAACTTTCTTTTCATCACTTTCAATAAACACACACATTTAAGTGCTGAAAGAATAATGAGAGGTACTTGCTTATTAGTAAGACAATACATTTTACCTTTTCAAATCAGAAATCTGAGTATGTGCATCAAGCAATTTGTTCTCAGTTATATTTAACGTATCCTACAAAAATAAAGGAAAAATTCAGATAACTGAAGATAAATATTCAGATGTATTCCTTTTATTTTAAAATGCATAATACAGGGACCAGCCACGTGGCATAGCGGTTAAGTGCGCGCGCTCCACTGCTGGCAGCCCGGGTTCGGATCCCGGGCGTGCACCACCCCGCACCGCTTGTCAGACCATGCTGTGGCAGTGTCCCACATAAAGTGGAGGAAGATGGGCACGGATGTTAGCTCAGGGCTAGTCTTCCTCAGCAAAAAGAGGAGGACTGGCATGGACATTAGCTCAGGGTTGATCTTCCTCACATACATACATACATACATACATACATACATACATAAATAAATAAAATGCATAATACAATACTAATCTAAGGCTACCTCAGAGAGCTACAAAGAAAATTAGGCAGATATTCAGCAAGTATGGGATCAACCACAGAGCCAACAACCATGATTCAAGGAAAAAAATGAGAGCAAAACACTAGTTTATACAAATAGCTGTGTGCAGGTCCCCTGTGTAACAGGTATGGCCTCTTATGCTTTGCTTGATTAGAAACAATCCAGGGTTAAAACGGACGCATTTTAACCACAAACTTGACTAAAACCTCAGTAAATGGCAAAACAAGTATCTGTGATGATGATATTTCAGATATAACAACTGGCTCCTGATCACCCCCCACCCCAGAACTCGTGGCTGCCTAGCTGTGCCGGCCTTTTCACTAACCTCAAATAATCTCAACCCTGCATTTTATGCAACAGAAATACTTGGACCCCACTTCCAGCATTATTGTGGGGTTTCAATGAATACAAATATGTAGTTCCCAAACAGAGCTTTAATTAAGAACTCAAACATAATCAATAAACTCAACCCCATGAAAAGCTAATGCTTTGAAAAACAAAGCTTTATATTTAAATAGTATTAAATAATTATTTGCATCTGTATGGTATCTTATAGTCTTCTAAAAATTTCACCTCAATCTCATCGCAAAAGCAATCACCATTCAATAAATATTTGTTAAATTAACGAATCCAACAAAATTGTGAGTTAAATATTTGAAAACAAGAATATTGACCCAGAGAGGATAAGTGAGTGGTCCACGTCAAACAGCTAGATGGGGATGGAGGAGGAGAGAAAGCGTCAGATCTCCTGATTTCCAGTGTAATGCTTCTGCCCCTACATGAAGGTCAGAACATGAACAATCAACCATTACCTTCACTCTTTCGTGTTCTTTTCCAAGGGACTCATACTCTGCCAAAAGCTACGAGGAAAAACAAAGAATTGCACCACAAAATTAAACACTATAATGGCAACTGAGCAACAGTCTACAAAAAAACTGCCCATACTCTCCAAAATGCCAATGTCATGAGAGAGAAAGATTAACACACAGTGCCAGATAAAGGGGAGACTAAAGAGATGAGACAAGTGAATAAAGGCATGACCCTGGGTTGAATCCTGGACTGGAAAAAAGTGCTGTAAAGGAACAATTTGGATATGGATTGCATCACTATTAGATTTCTTTATTTTGATAACTATTCTGTGGCCACGTACGAGAAGGCCCGTGTTCTTAGGGAACACATACCGAAAGTGAAGGGGTAAAGGGGCATGATGTCTACAACTTACTCTCCAATGGTTTTGGAGAAGAAAAAAAATACAAATCCACGTGTGAACATATATATATGGTGGTATGATAAATATGGCAAAATGTTAACAATTATGATCCTAGGTAAAAGGAATATGACAGTTCTTCGAAGTTTTCTATAAGTTTGAATTTATTTCAAAATAAAAAGTAAAACAAAAATAATGTAGTATCAGTCAATACCCTTCAGTGAGCACTATTTTAAAAGATTAAAGCTTATTTGCACTGTTCTCTTTTGAATTGTTGCATACTACTTTTGCTAAGTTAGTTCCAGAGTAAAGGTACAATCCCAAATCTAATATAATCAGGTAATTTATTTAAAAATAAATATGTGAGACTTCTGGTTAAAGAAGACAGATTCATCACAGAACTCTCTCTTTACCGAGATCCCACTAAATTAACAACAAAACAATTAAAGAGAAAACAAAAGTGGTAATAGCAACAGGTGAGAGATTTCAGTGAAGATGTAGGCTACAACCTCCAGGGCCTGAACAAAAAGGATGCTCAGGGCAAGTAGGCTGATATCTTCATACCCCCGACAGGCTCAGACTTGAATCCCAACTTCAGTAGTGGACGGGGTTGAAGCACAGGGCTGCCCACAGGGAACTGGTTGAAAGTCCTTAAGTAGAATGGTTAGAGCTCAGGACCTTCCCCCATCCCATACAGCAGTGGACTGTCCCGCCAGGCGACAGGACAGAGGAGACATGAATGAGAGAAAAATGCAACTTTGGAAGGGGGGCGGTGGGCAGGGTGCGCGCGGCGGGGCGGGGGGGTGGATAAAGAGAAAATGACTGAGGAAAAGTCTTCAAAAATACCAACTTGACTCTCCCTCCCTCACTGCCACCAGAGCCTGGCTGATAGGTCCCAGACAAGAGACTGGGAGACTCTTCTTTGGGAAAACTGAACAACCTCAGAAAAAAATCCTCCACATATTCACATCTGGAAGTTCCCTAACCAAATGGCTGGTGCATACTCTACGGTTGCCTGTAAGTGAAGGCTACCAGGAAACAAGTCCCATCTGTGCAGAGTCTCCAAATAGCTTTTCGCTGCCTCACTCTTAAATGTGAGCCTACAAAAGAACCAATATTTGAAAAAAAAACCATTCACTATGAAATAGACTTCAAGTCAAAATGAAAGGTTAACTTCAAAGAAATAATGAGTCCAAATATTGAAAGAAAGCTGTTATTAACATCCTTGGAGAAATAACAATGTTATATTCATAAAACAAGAACAGAAAGCTATGAAAATCTAAATCAAAGAAAAAACAAAGAGCTCTTAGAAGCTAAAAATGAGAGAGGACATAAATTTAACACCAAGACCAGAAGATAAAGCACAAAAAGGCCACCATGGAAACTAAAGCATAAATAAGTCTTAGAGAATCAACCCAGGCAAAGCAACATCTACCGGCAAAACTTCCAGAAAAAAAGAACAGAGAAAAGAGAGGTAAGAAAGAGAGAGATAACATTAGCAAGTTTGTAGAACTGAAAGACATTAATTTCCATATTGGAAGAACCTGTGTCCCAAACAATGAACGAGAAAAGACCCAGTACATCAAGGTGCACTGTCACGGAATTTCAGAACACCACGGATAGAAAGAAGGTGCTAAAAAGCTTCCAGAAGGAGCTCTGAACTCATCCAAAATGAATGAGAAACACAACTACTAAATGCAATGCCTGATCCTTGGCTGGCTTCTGGACTAAAAAGCAAAAACCAAAACATCTATAAAGGACATTATTTAGACAATTGGGGAAATCTGAATACAGACGGTATATTAAATACCAGTATTATATCAACGTTAAATTTCCAAGGTATGATAATTGTGCTGAGATTATGCAAGAGAAGGTAATGTCCTTGTTCTTAGGAGATATCTGTTGAACTATTTAGGGATATAATCTCACAGTGTCTGCAGTTTACTCCCAAATAGTTCAGCAAAAGGAAACAGTTTGTACAACGTGAAGACATAAAGCAAATGTGTAAAATATTCATGCTTGGGGAATCTAGGTAAGGAACAGACAGAGGTTGTCATTGCACCATTCTTACACTTCTTCGGCAGGCTTCAAGCTTTTAAAATAAAAAAGATGGTGGAAAAGGAGAAAAAATAAAAGCCATGGGACTGGGGGAGGGGGAGAAAGGAAGAGAACCAATCCACAGGTCTCTCATGGGCAACATAAAACAACGGAACAAAGGCTTCAAAGTTCTGATGGAAAGAAAATATACAGCCAGAATTCTATAGTTAGCCAAACGACATGTGAAGGACCTAAATCTTCATCCAGAGTAATTATGGATAACGTTAAAAATTCAAGAAATAACAATATAAGCATCTTATTTAGAAATATATAAATACCAGAATATGGTGCCTAAGGGGAAAAAGCTAACATAGGATGTAAAAGAATACATGCTATGTTAATGAAAAAAAGTGTAATACTTTGGTGAGAGACTTTTTTTTAAAGATTTAAAGCAATAGAGCTATAGGGCCGCCCCGTGGCTTAGCGGTTAAGTGCACGTGCTCCACTGCTGGCGGCCCGGGTTCGGATTCCGGGCGCACATCAACGCACCGCTTCTCCAGCCATGCTGAGGCTGCGTCCCACGTACAGCAACTAGAAGGATGTGCAGCTATGGCATACAACTATCTACTGGGGCTTTAGGGGGAAAAAAATAAATAAATAAAAATCCTTAAAAAAAAAAAAACTGTTTAAAGCAATAGAGCTATAAACCATGTTCATGTTCATGTATGGCAAGACTCAATATTACAAGTCTCAATTGTCCCCAACTCCATCTATAAATTCAGTACAATTCCAGCCAAAAGCAGAGTTTTTCATGAAATGTGTTAAGCTGACAGCAATATTTATATGAAATAAAACAGGGTCAAGAATAGGCAAAGTGGGCCGGCCCGGTGGCTTGGTGGTTAAGTGAGCGCGCTCCACTGCTGGCGACCCGGGTTCGGATCCCGGGCGCGCACCGACGCACCGCTTCTCCGGCCATGCTGAGGCCACGTCCCACATACAGCAACTAGAAGGATGTGCAGCTATGACATACAACTATCTACTGGGGCTTTGGGGGGAAAAATAAATAAATAAAATCTTTAAAAAAAAAAAAAAAAAAAGAATAGGCAAAGTAATTTTTAAAACAAAAAAAGGTAAGGAAACACTCCACCAAAAATCAAAGCTTGTTATAAAATGCTAGTAATTAAGATGGTATTCTGGGGGATCAGAATTTGCCACCCCAAAATGTGTCTCTTTGGCTTGATTCTTTTTTTTTTTTTTGGTGAGGAAGATTAGCCCTGAGCTAACATCTGTTACCAATCCTCCCCTTTTTGCTGAGGAAGATTGGCCCTGGGCTAACATTGTGCCCATCTTCCTCTACTTTATATGGGATGCTGCCACAGTGTGGCTTGATAATCGGTGCGTAGGTTCACGCTGGGGATCTGAACCTGCAAACCCCAGGCCACCGAAGCAGAGCACGTGAACTTAACCACTACGCCACCCGGCCGGCCCCAGCTTGATTACTTTTAAGAATAAAAGATTCAGAAACAAACTTTAACCTTCCCCCAACTGTCTAAAAAAATTTAAGATAGAAGGCCTGTCCCAGAAAGGAGCAGGAGCTATCACCATAGATAACTCTAGGTGTGGTAGAGAGGAAGGCACCTAGCAATGCCCATTTTATCCAAGTTCTCTCTCAGGTCCCATCGTCTATAGATGGTCCAGAAAACACTTATTTAGCAAACATTTGCTCTTCCATCTCCATGTGAAATACCTTCCTCCCCTTCAAAGTCCCAAACCACTACCGCCAACATCCTCCTTTGTCTTTAGCTGAAGATGGTATTTAAGGCGGTGGCTTCAGCTATTTGGGGAGTTACTCAGTTTTTCTGGGTTTCTCCCACATATATATGTTATTAAACTTTGTTTGATTTTCTCCTATTATTCTGTCTCATGTCAATTTAATTCTTAGACTAGCTAGAAGAACCTAGAGGATAGAGGAATAGTTCTTCCTCCCCTATGGTGCAGTTTCAATTCAGGGACAAATAAACAGACCAATGGAACAGACTAGAGAGCCCCAAAACAGACTCATACAGGAAAGAAACATAATATACAACAGAAGTGGCATTAGAAGTCAGTAGGGAAAGGATAATCTATTCAAAAAGGGTGCTGTGACAATTGTTAATCATTTGAAAAAAAATTAAGTTCAACTCCTAACTCATACCATAGATAAGAGATAATTTTGGGCAGATTAAAGGCCTAAATCTATAAAGCAAAACTTTATAATCTTAGAAGGCAATATACGGCAGAATAATTTTCTGATCTTTGGGCAGAAAAAGATTTTGTAAATAAGACATAAAGGAGGCCCAAACCATAAATAAAAAGACTGTATTTTGGACATTAAAATACAAAACTTGTAGCCCATAAAAGACACCACAGATAGTGAAAAGCAAGCCACAAGCCAGGAGAAGATAACTGCAATTGACACAACCATTCCACATTGACCAACCTGAAAGAGGTCTGACAATACCAAGTGTTAGAAACAATCTAGAAAAATAACGAATTCTCATACGTCACTGGTAGGAAAATAACTCGTGCAAGCACTTCAGAGAGCAATTTAGCAGTATCTAACGAAGATGAGTGTTA